CATAAACCTGTGCTACCACTCCTGGCTTTTTCTACGTGGGTTCTGGGTGATTGAACTCAGGTTCTCATGCTTGCAGGGAAAGTTCTTTACCATCTGAGCTGTTGCCCCAGCTCCTAACACTTTGTTCTTTATACACATACCATATAAGTTTGCTTTTTTCAGACTTAGGTGTTTGAAGTGCAACAAAGGAGGGATGTGGGACACTGGGTTTAGTCTTCCAAAGCTAGCTTTGCAGATGGAACATGCCAACACGTAGAATGGGTGGTAGCCACCTTAAGGGGCAAAGAAAGACAAGTTGTGTTCTGCAGAAAGCCAGGAGGAAAGAGTCCATGAGGGCAGGTCATGGGCTGAGAAGGGCTCTGTCCTGGCTGCCCTACAGTGACAACATGAGGATCCCAGAGGAGTGCTATAAACAGAAACCAGTGTGGGCCACATGTGTCATATGGAGGTCTCTAGAAGCTACATTTAAAAAGTAAAATGGACCATGCACTATTCACTGTAATGGTATATTTCATTTAATCTAATATACCAAAATATAACAGATATGAAAAAATCATTAAGATAGTTTGTAATTAAAGATAGCATGCCCACACATGTGTGTATGTATATGTATGTAGACACTTGTGTGCCACAGTGCATGTGTGGAGACCAGAGGACAACTTGCAGGAATCAGTGCTCTACTTCCACCACATGGTCTCTGGGAATCAAATTCAGGTTGCAAGTCTTGGCAGCAGGTTCCGTTACCCACCAATCCATTTCTCCAACCAATTATTTTTGTACCAAGTCTTGATTCCAGCGTGTACTTTATATTTCAATGTGTGTGTGTGTGTGTGTGTGTGTGTGTGTGTGTATGTATGTGCTCGTGTGTGTGAAAGAGTGTATTTTATACTTTTTGGGGCCAGCCATATTTCTTTCTTTTTTTTAAGTTTTTTAAAAATATTTTATTTACTATATTTATTTTATGTGTATGTATGTATTGCCTGCATGTATGTGAGTGCACCCGTGTTGTACAATGCCACAGAGGTCAGAAGAGGGCTTCGGATTCCACTGGAACTGGAGTTAAGGACGGTTCGTAGCTGCCATGTGGGTGCTGGGAATTGAACCCGGGTCCTCTGCAAGAGCAGTCAGTGCTCTTAACCACTGAGCCATCTCTCCAGCCCCAGTCCAGCCATATTTCAAGCCATGTTCAACGCCATGTGTGGCCAGTGGCAACCACATTGAACAGTATACTGGGAGCTTGTTTGGAGGTTCTAGCAGGGGAGCACAGCTACTCATATACCCTTGGCCTAAGGCCTGTGCTCCTCTATTGGGAAGGTCATTCTTTCTGACCCAGCATACAGCTTCTGGAGGGACACACATGGAGTGGTGAGGGAGGAAGAGACACCTGCCTAGTCAGGGAGATCAGCCTAGTCAACCTTGGTGCTCAATGGGTAACAGATGTTGCAGCCAGATTACCCTCACATTCACCCTTAACCATGGGTTAAGACTGGAGTGACATGATATCTTGTCCTCTTTAAGGTCTTAGGGAAAGACTGGAAGGGGTCCGTGGAATCAGAGCTCATCCCAGCCATCAGGGAGTGACCTTGAGTGTCCTTAAGCAGGAGGAGTTAGAGATGGTCGGGTATCATTCCCATCAGTAGGAGACTCCCAGAGTTCCAGTGGTTTGGTATAGACCACAAGGTCCTGTGCTGGTCTCTTTGGTCCAAGTTGGTGTGACACACTTTGGGGGACTGTTTATATCCCTTCAGTATCATCAGCCAGCAGGTTCTGGGATGCCCACTGTTTTTCTTTCCTGGAGGGCAGGTAATTGTGTGTTGGTCCTTGTTTGAACATGTACACAGTGGGCACATGATGATTCTTGGAGCAAGTTTGTGTTAAACTGTCCCCTAGCTCTGGTGTTAAGGGTCTGTGATCTTGATTCACCCGTTCTGGAGTGCACATGTGTGCACATGCAGCTACAGTTGCTGGAGAGATTGGGTAGCCAGTGAGACCTCATCTTTGTGTTTCAACTCTTGTGCTAGGCTTTTCTCCCTCTTTCATTACTTCCTACCGCACAGGTCCCATGCCTACATCCCAATGGGACAGAGAAGAATTAATCGAGGCAAGTGCACGCCTGCTTAAGTCCTAAAGTCATACATGCTGTTTCTCAATACCTGAAGCTGGTTTTTGTGTCTGTTGGTGACACTTGTTGCTCTTCTTCTCCGAAGGGAGTTGGGGGCAGATAAACCTATTCTTGTTTGGCTGTTCAACTTCTAAAAATATCCTGACTGCTTTTCACATCCACTTTGAAGCTCTGCTATCCCCATCAGTAAAACTTTACTGTCCTCAGGCCTTTACTAGTCTACAACCTGAACCATGGCCTATGTTATCCTGTGACAAGCAGGCAGGTGCTGCCTTCCACCACCAGCTTCTCAAAAGGAGACTATTTGCTTCCTCCCCCCAGCACTTAGCACAGGGACCCTAGAATGTGTATCCTAAACTCAACTGTGGTGTTAGGGAGTCCATTTGGGTATGTGTGACACATGTGTGTGAGCACATATACATGCATGTGGGTACACTTGAATGTAGAGGCAGAGGTTGATGGGGCCAGACATCTTTCTCAATTTCTTTCAACCCCATTGTTTAAGACAGAGTCTTTCACTGAATCTGGAGCTCATTGATTGAGCTAGGCTGGTCAGTGAGCCACAGGGCTCTGCCTGTTTCCCTGGTGCTGTGATTACCAATGTACTTCATCACGCCTGGCTTTTTACATGGGTTCTGGTGATGAAACTCAGTTTCCCATGCTTGTGCAGTAAGTACTTGACTGAGTCATCTCCCCAATATCTTGGGAGCTCATTTTATATCTCCAAAGATTTCTTCCTTTTAGGTGGAGCAGGAAAAAAATGTTTGGCTCAAAGGAAGTCTTGCTAAAGATTGGAGTTTAGACACCTTGCAGGAGAGTATAATTGAGAGGTGTTGGGGATTCCTGGGGCTTTGCTAATTACAGTTGGCCCTCCAGTTGTGTAGGTTCTGCATCTGCAGATTCAACAAACCACATAGAGAATATATGGGAAAAAAGAATCTCATATTTACTGAGCATGTGGAGACAATTCCCTTGTTTCCTAAACAGTAAAGCGTAACAGCTATCTGCATAGCATCTACATTACTTTAAAGATTTATTACTTATTTGTCTGTGTGTGAGTGTGTGCACTCTTGCCGGAAGAGGGTGTCAGGTATCCTCTTCTATCACTCTTTACCTATTCCTTCCTGAACCTGGGGCATGCATTTTTCTTGGCTGTGCTGGAAGCTAGAAAACTACAGGAATCCTCCTGTCTCCAACCCTCTGAGAGCCAGGTCCACAGAGATTTGCAGGATGCTTGGCTTATTATGTGGGTGTTGGGATCTTCAGATTCTCATGATTACACCAGCAAGCACTCTTAACTGCTGAGCCACCTCTCCAGACCTATATTACTTCACATAGTGTAAGTAATTTAGAAATTAGTTAAATATACAAGGGAATGCGTATAGGCTGTATGCAAATTCAGTATCATTTTATATAGAGGGCTTGAGTGTCTATAGATTTTGGTACCCGTGGGCATTCTGTAGCCAACGCCCCAGGAACACAGGGATACAGGGATGACTGATCAGAAAATATGCTGTAGACTGCTTGTTGACTTGATGACTGAACATGGATGGAAAGGATACTTGGTTCTGTTTTTTTTTTTCTAGGAAAAAATATGACTATACTTGTATGCATTTTTGCATGGGGGAAATGAGTAAATAGGATTACTTTTTTCTAATTCATTCATTTCTCAATGGGAGCAGACTTATGTAGGAAATTTGACAATAGTAGTACTTTTTAGGGACAACGCATCAGTAATTTGTAGGGGCTTGGGAGACAAACCTCAGTTCAGTGTGAATTTGCCAGATGATAGTAATGGGTTGATTGATCAAAGATTTTTTTATAATCAGGTCCCAATCATGAACCACATGTTAATCTCACATTTAAAAGCGAACTTCCAAAATGAGCTTGCATTTCAGGGTTGAAGTGTATATTGATGAAAGTTTAGAGTTCCCTAATTGCTAGAAAATGTCTGAAGTGGGGCTAGCGAGACAGGTAAGTCAGTAAAGTGATTGTCTTGCAAGAGGACCCGAGTTTGATCCTCAGAAGTCATGTGACAGAGCCAGATGCGGCAGCATGTGCTTGTAACCCCAGAGCTGAGGAAGCAGAGAAAGGAGGATCCCTGAGACTCACTGGCCAGTCAGCCGAGGTAACTGGGAGCGTTCCAGGCCTGCGAGAGACTCTTCTCTGAAAGCAAGGTGGGCAGCTTCCTGAAGAAGGCACCTGAGGCTGATCTTTGGTCTCCATATGTAGCTGCACACAAAGTATGCATGCATACATGTACACACACACACACACACACACACACACAGAACTGAACTTTCATATTACTCAGGAATGGCACTGGGTTGTTGTGGTGTCTCCAGGAGAGAAGGAACACATGCTGACAATTCTTCTTCAGGCACCTGCTGCAGTTTGAAACGGGCCAGCTCTGAACACAGTTAATGAAATTCTGACTGTTTTCCATTTGTTCCTCACACTTTAAATCGTGCTTTTGGCTCTGTGAGTGTTCAAAGAAAATGCTAGCAGAAAGTGACAGAACCAAGGAGGAAGCATCAAGAAAACCCTACAGCACCTAAGAGACACAGCTCAGTGGTGCAGGGTAGAAGCACAGACCTGGACAGAAGGCAAGCCTGTGTTAAATTCTTGTTCTGTCCCAAAGTGCCTGGGCAGTTGCTATCATTATTCCTGCATGTCCTCAGCTCACCGGAGCCAAGAGACCAGAACACCTCTGTAGCTTGAATGTGAAATGCCTCCTATAGGCTTGAACACCTAGTCACCAGTTGGTGGCACTGTTTGGGGAGCTTGTGGAAACTTTAGGAAGTGGAGTCTTGTAGGAGGAACTGTTTCTGGGGGAAGGCCTTGGGGTATTACAGTCCAGTCCTACTTCCTGTTTTCTCTTTGCTTCCTGAACGCCAATGCAGTGAGACCCTCATCCTCCTACTCCTGCTACCCTGCCTTCTCCACCATGATGGACCATAACCCCTTGGAATTGTAAGCTGGCAGAGACCATTTATTTCTCCCTTAGTTGCTTTGGTCAGAAATTTTGCCACAGCCATATGTAAAGTAACCAAGACAGCTTGCTTTTAGACATCACCTCCATGCCCAGCTGTGGGTTCTTGATGCTATGCTAGGTATGACAGGGACACCCTGGGTTCTTTCTGTGGACTCAGTCTCAATATAGCCTCTAGGAGAAGCAAAAGAGAATGAATCATTGGATTTCACACTAAGAAAGTCTGCTTTTTTCAAGACCCAGAAGCCATTATTCCAGCTGAATAAATCCATTAGATGGGTCAGCTCATTGTTTAAATCAAGTGGGTAATTCTCTCATCCTGAAAGAATGATCACTTTGGACCAATGCACTACTTCACACCATGTGCAAGGCTTACATGTTAGAGTGCTAATTAAAATTTTATTTCTTGATATAAGTCCACATTTCTAAGTGCCTTCTATAAATACAGTGTAATTTTTTCTCTTTCTTTAAATGGCTCCATGTCAGCCTAGAAACAGCCCTGCTGGCATCCCAGTAGTTGATTGACAGGTTCTGTCCTGAGGAGAGCTCTGACAGAGAACATAAAGATGGATTGATGGGCCTGATTTATGAGTGTCTCTCCCTAGCTGAAATGGCTACCTGCTTCCAAGGGCAGGAATGGTAAGAAGTGCTGTCACGGTCTGGCCAACTTCTGTCTGGCAGTGCATCTCTCAGGGTTAGGCAGCTGTCTCCACTCTCATTTTGGGGGCGAGACCACTGTCTCCATCCTCATGGGCTTCTGGATCAGTTCCTCTATTTGATGTGTGTGGTTTCCAGGGCTGCTTGGCTGAAGTCTCCATATTCAGAGGCATTTGAAGCAGCTTGAAAGTGAAGGCTGGCAAAGAATGTATTTCAACATTGAGGGCAAGAGAAAAGATACCCCAAATGTCTATATTTAAAAGTAAATGTTTCTAAGTTGGGAAAAGAATCAAAACTACTTTGTCAGAAACCAAACAAGGGTGGCTCAAGAGCTCCATTCGTTTCCTTAGCATCTATCTGTTGTAGGCCCATAACATCGATCCTGTTAATATAGAACTCATTAGTCCTTAATGCATAACTGCAGTACTTTTCCTTAATGCCAGAACCCCAGTTTTCAGCCTCCTCCTGGGTTTTTAGAACTTAATTTTGGGGGGAATTTCTTTGCTATCTTGATGTCCACCTGGGTAATCCTAGGTACCAGGCATGGATGCCTCCTGCTCGGCTACTAAGTGGCAACCTGGACATTTCCCAAATGCAGTCCCTTTCCACTTCAGGCCCTTACTATCATTATTACCAACAGGAAGCCTGCCAGTTGGAGTCAGCCTGCCTGCGACTGTCACTTGTCACATATTTATTCTGGAACTCCCGTCCCATTGCCTAGTGAGCTCTGGTGATCTGGATCTACAGAGCAAATGTCTGTACTCTTCCTTAGTCCTGAAGGAAATTGGATTTCGTGTTCTTGGTTCTGGGTAGGTTGTCTGGGGCATTATTGCTGCACTATGGTTGTGGTCAGCAGGTTCTTACAGGCCATCTCACCTTCGTAGGAATGTTTAGTGACTTTTCCTGGGGAAGAATACCTGAATAAGCATCTACTCAACCCAGGTAGAGAATCAATGACAGACCAAAGCACTTAATCCCCCATAGTGCATCGTGATAAACCAATGAGCTTATTTGGGTTAGTTATAGGAAAATGGGTGAGGGGTTACTTACAAGAGCATGGATGACTCAAAGGCAGCTGTGTCACTGAAAAGTCTATCCATCATGGGTGCTGACTTATAAGGGATGTATTCCTGGAGCTCCTTGCACAACTGGCATGCTGTTTGACAGGCTGGAGAGTTTATTCCCCTTATAATCTTACTGCTTATATAATCTTGGGGAGGGTTCTTGTGAATCTTGTAATTTTCAGGAATTTCCCAAGATTTGTCAGTTGCTTACTTCCTGAGTCTTAATGAGCCTCTCTTCAGGAATGGAATGTTTCAACTGGGAGGAAATCAGCATACCCCAGGGAGGGAATGTCCACAGGACCATGCCTACTCTGCTCTTTCTTCCTTTTGGGGCACAAGGACCACACATTTCCTCAACCCTTACAGTTAGATTGTGCTCATTTTTAGGTGAAGAAATGACACACGTATCAGGTGTGTCAATCTGGCAGAAGCAGTGACAAGCCCACGTGGTTCTCATAGTTTCTCTTGCTTGCAGCGAGTTTGGAAGACTCTTTTGGTTATGTGGAAACATAAGATCAAAGCCTGCTGGATCACTGAAGTCCCAGGAGGCTGCCCAGACTCACACAGTATGGAGCAAGAAACAAACTTGTTAAACCACTGAGGCTTGGTGGTTACTTGTTACTAGGCATATGCTCATTGTATCCTGTGATAAACAATGCTTTGGCAGGGTGCACTGCTAGGCATCTGTCAGAGTGGGTCTTCAAAGAACGTTCCATGTTTAGATGAAGATAGTGACTCACAAGAGGAAGGGCTTCATTTTTCAATCATACTTAAGAGAACTCAACACAGTGGAGAAATAGGGGCTTGAAGATTAACTGATAAACTGCCTGTCTTGAAAGCATGAGGACCTGAGTCTAATTCTCAGAACTCAGGTAAAAAAAGTTCTAGCATGGTGGTGTGCTCTTGAAATCTCAACACTAAGGAAGGGGATACAGTTGGATTCCTGGGGCTTGCTGGCTAGACAACCTCACACACTTGGTGAACTCTAAGCCAGTGAAAGACCCTGTCTGAAACACACACACACACACACACACACACACACACACACGGTGGATGGTGTCTGAGGGATGATATCCAAAGTTGTCCTCTGGTAGTCACATGCATGCATATCTATACACACACATGCACCTGCATGTGTGTGCATGCACACATACACACACAAATGGAAGAATACAAAGTCTACATGGGAAGTAAAAAGAGAAGCATGTAGAAGGTGCTTCCATCTGATATCTGGTTTGTGAAATGAAACAATTCCTTATGTTTCAGAACCACTCATATCCAATCTGAGTGACCATTACCCAGGAAGAGTCTAAAGATGGATGCCCATATCCCCTGGGACCTTATTATTATAGTGTGCTCAGGTTTTTATTTCATCAAACTGCTAGCACCATTGCCTGAGGTCCCTCTGGGGTGACCAGAGTCAGCACTGCCTGCTGTAAGTGTCAGAACCAATGCTTTCTTCTCAGTTGTTGACATCTTTCAGCCACTGAGTGAAGAGAGTGGACTCATGAAGGACTTCACGTCCCACAGTGTGTGCTGTATGCACACTGTTTCTTAGGTCTCGCTTCTAGGCCAAACTCCAGTTACCCATGGGGGCAACTTGTTTGGTAACATCCACTTATAGGTGTCTTCTCTGGCTTGTAGACGTCCCCACTTCCCTGATGAGGTACTTGGGCCACTTCCCATAAGCCTTGAATTCAAATACTTTTCTGTGGGTGGCTTAACTGGCAATTCTTTTTGAAGATGATTGTCCGTATCTGTGGATGAAAAGAGACAAAAGGAAAAGAGATTTGGCATAGTCTTGCATTGAAAGGAAAATAGAAGCATGCTGATACCGTTTTCCTCTGACTTTTGTGCTCGGCAACTTGCAATATCTTTTTTTTTTATACAACTTTAAAAATATTTTACTTATTATTTTTATTTTATTTTGTGTGTATGTATGTGAATGCACCGGTGTTGTGCAATGCCGTGGAGGTCAGAAGAGGCCTTTGGATTCCCCTGGAACTGGAGTTAAGGATGGTTTGTAGCTGCCATGTGGGTGCTGGGAACTGAACCCAGGTCCTCTGCAAGAGCAGTCAGTGCTCTTAACCGCTGAGCCATCTCTCCAGCCCCATGATTGAAATGATCACCCATGAGGTAGATTTTATCTTATTTATTTGTACATATGTGTGTGTATGCTTGTGTGCATGTATGTGTTTGTGTGTGTGTGTGTGTGTGTGTGTGTGTGTGTGTGTGTGTATGAGTGTGTGTTGCATGCTGTGGAAGCCATCTTTCCTAAGATGCTATCCAGAGTGCTTTTTTGAAACAAGGTCTCACTGGCCTGGAGCTCACCATTAGGATAGGCTGACTGCCCAGTGAGTACCAGGGATCCTTCTGTCTCTGCCTCCCTAGTGCTGGGATTACAAATGCACACATCACCATGGCCAGGTTTTTATGTGGGTACTGAGGATAGAACTCAGGTCGGTATCCCCAGTTGTTCTGGTTTTAAAGAAAAATGATTGGAAATTCAAAAAAGCTAATGTCTTGGCCAAGCCTCATTATAGAGGACGGGCTTACAGCCCGTGCAGCTTTGGGGCCAGGCAGAGGGCAGCCATGAGGAAGCAGAGGGAGAGTCCCCCAAACTTGGCACAATGATGCAGATTGAGCCTCTGCCTCTGGGTGTCCCTTCCCACTGGAGAGATCTCGCTGCCCCTCTCTCTCAGCTTCAAGTGCTTAGTTTGGTGACTGCAGGGCACAAAGCAGGCATGTCTTTGTCTCACCTAGCACAGTTCAGTGCAGGAGGGTCTTCAGGACTTCCCACATGTGCTTTCACTTCAAGCCCACCCAGCATCTTGTCCTTAATTTTATCTAAATCCTCTTTCACCTAGGCCCTGGATTATTTATTCATTCGTTCATTCATTTTTATTTTTATGTGCGTGGGTGTTTTGCCTGCCTGTAGTAAATGCACTCATATTGTGCAATGCTCTCAGAGGCCAGAAGAAGGGTATTAGGTTCCCTGGAATTGGAGTTAAGTAAAATTGTTAACACCCAAGTGAGTGCTGGGAATCCAACCCAGGCCCTCTTAGAAGGGCATTCACTGTTCTTAACCACTACTGAGCCATCTCTCGAGCCCTGCGCTCTGGATTTTATTTTATTTTTTTTGAGACAGGGTCTTCCTGTAGCTCCAGCTGGTCTGGAACTCACTATGTAGACCAGGCTGACATCCATCTCACAAAAATCCACCTGCTTCTGTCTCCTGACTGCTGGATTAAAGGTTTGCA